ATATATATATATATATATATATATATATATATATATATATATATATATATATATAAACATATATATTAAATTACACGCATGGGTCCCTTGGTTGTTGAAGTCGGCAGCACCAAGCATGAACATTAGTCTTTCTATGTATATGTGGCTGGGCCAGCAACTTGGGTTTTATAATTCATATATATGTATATAATATATATATTAGACATTAACTTTGAAACCCTCCAACCTGACTTGCAATATACCTACGGACGTCAGCCACATAGTTCTAATATTCCAAAACCTCGGCCGCAACTATTTCTTTTTTAATCTGCCCGCATTTTTAACACAACCTGGCCTAGCTCTCCAGCCGCCAGCCAACCAAAAATCCTGCACAAGAAATTTGTAGCTTTCGGCGGCCAAAACTGCTGATCATCCGGCCGCCATTTTCTAGCCAACACGCCCAGCCAACGACCTTCCAGCAGACCCGGCCGCAATTTTCCAGATTTGGCCACGCCCAGCTGTTTCTCAAGCCCAGGTTTTTTTCTAGTCGTGCTTTGCCTTCTCGCAAGTTCCTACTCTCGACCGCCGTTCCTTCAATCGGGTTGTGTCCAGCTTTGCATATGAAAACCTGGCTGGGCATAACCCAGCCGCCCTTCTTGAAGCTCCAAACCCGATTGCCAAGTTTCAATATCCCAAGCCGCTTGAATTTCATCAAGTGCTCAGATTGGGTGGATTTTCAACACGCCCAAACATTGCCCCCTCGACTTGCTTGGCTCGGATTCGGTGTAGAGGTAAGCAAATCGAAGCCCAAGACTTTTCAATTTCTGAATTTTGAAACTCTTTGCTTGCCTTGCACGTTATTAAATTTTTGAATCGGGTAGGAATTTAGGAAGACCCCAATTAAATTGGAGGGACTTTTGAACTTCCTATCCGTTAGAAACCCTAGATTTTACAAATATCCAAGTGTTCTCTTTCATTTCACATAAACACTTCCACCATAGCTATAGGCTTTTAGAAGGTTTCCTCTCAAAACCCATATTCTCTTTTCTTTCAAATTCATCATTTCGCACACCGCATTCACCCGAATCAACATCAAACTTGAGATTTGCAAGCTTCTTAGGTGCCCGGGTGAATTTTCAACAGCCCCAAACATTGCCCCCCGATTTGTTTAGCTCATAATTGGTGTAGAGGTAAGCAAATCGAGACTCAAAACCTTTCAATTTTCTGAATTTTGAAACTCTTTGCTTGCCTTGATTTGAATCTTAGTTTATTCACTATATTTTTCTTTGATTCGATTTTGCCTCATGTTTGTAGGATGGAATCCATTCCAAGTGATAGCGCCCAATTTTTTGAAGACATGAAAGTGGCTATGGAAACCGATTTGGGCAAGCAAATCTTCGCCTACTACCTCAATGCTTTTCCCAATTCCGCCCAATACATTCTCAGCCCATTTTTCTCCGCCTATCTGGAGGAGGTGACAAGGGTATGGGTGATGCAGCCGAGGAATGGCCCAATTTATTTTTCAGACTTCACATGGGCAACCGTTTGGGAGAGCACCAAACCATTCAAAGGTTGGCCAACGGGAGGCCCCATAAAAAAGGATTCCGCCCCAAGTAAAGAAGCTCTTTCAAAGAAAGCATCATCCGCCGCCGGGAAGCCCGACCACTCAAGCTCGGCGGATGGAAAGTTTGATTGGTATCATTGGTTCAAGGCATTGGAACCAAAATTGAAGGGCCATTGGAAGAAAATTGGAATATATGATACATTACTCCTATGTGCGGAGAGCCCCTTTCCTTGCGACCGCTCTCTCATCATCGCGGCCCTATGCTTTTGGTCTTCCTCCACCAATTGCTTGAGGCTCCGTTTTGGGATGATGACGCCCAACTTGCTAGACTTGGCCGTTATCGCCGGCCTTCGCCCTCATGGAGATGATTTCTCGACCGCCAACTTTCCGGAATCCAAGGCGGGCTTAGATTTCCACAAGTCAAGCAAGACCTTTGGGAGTTGGGTGAAGACATATCTTGGCCATGGCGGAGAGCCCACCGATCCTCCTTCCATCAATGGCGTCTCCTACATTGAGCATGTGGCTTTCCTTGTCATGTGGCTATGCAAGTTCTTGGCGTGCCCAAAATCCGGCGGGATTACTAAGGAGTTCCAAGCCTTGGCGGAGGTACTTGTGGATGGCCATCAAGTGGCCATGGGCCCAATTTTCTTTGCCTATCTTTATAGAGGGCTCCGCGAGGTAATTGCTAAACCCATGGATTATCATGCTTCTGGCCCCATATGGATTTTTCAGTTGTGGCTCCAGCTTTATTTTCCAGAGCTAAGTCCAACCACCGTTTGCCCCAACGATAAATCTCTTCTTGGCCCGCCCTTGCTCAACGCCCCACGCCGAAAGCATTATGTTGAGGATTGCTTCCGATTTTTCTATGAGTGCCAAGACAGGACTAGGGAGCATCTCTCCATTTGTCTAGACCACCGTTTCCCAGATTATCTAGCCTTGGATCTTTCCTCATTTTCTACAGCGGAGACGAAAGAGGAAAGACATAATATGTGGGCGAGCATCCTCATCAGCCGAGATCTTCCATCCGGCCTAATGGTGAACAAAGCTCGCAACTATCATTGTGGTGGTGAGCTCTATTATCCCGCCGCCGCGGGCTACCAACTTGGTTTTATACAGAGCATCCCGATACCACCTATGGATTCCGTCATCCTACTTTCATCTTGGCGGGCGGAATTTAAGGATGCAAAAGAAGTCACCACCTTGACGAGTTTCAACCAAGACTTGGTGAAATCTTTTAGCATTCCGATTAGAGATCCCCGATTTGGTGACTCCGATATTTTCGTCCATTGGTGAAAAAAGATGTCGGCCAGTTGGTTTTCTCAGCCATGCTCGGAGATTGAAGATAGGATCTTCAGACATTGCCCGTGCTCATTGGCCTACCAACAAGAGAAAGAGAAAAAGAAGGCCCAAGCAAAAGGTAAAATACTTATATATTTACTTATTTTTGAGTTGTGACATTCTTCCTTTTTCTAACTCTTCAAACTTCATAGTCGACACGGCCGAGAAAAACGATCCCCCCGCCGACCCCATTGAAAGGGAGGACTCCGCCAATCTCATCGATGTTAATTCTGGGCGGGGCGTGAAAAGGCCCAACATCCCCATCCAAGGTAGGCAATCTCCATGATTTTTTATTTCTAAATATTTGCACTTTCGGCTTTCTGAATTTTCTGATGGGCACCTCTAAAAGTTTAAACTTTCAACTTTTTAGGAGGTACCCCCACCGAGAATATTGTGCCCTCACAAACATTCCTTCGGCCCAGAAAAGTTCCCCGGAACCTCTCACCTCAAGGTTTGGCCGTGCACCTTTTTTTTTTTTTTTTTACTCGATGCTAACTATGACTCGTCCCAGGTTCCCCAAGGCCGGCGGAGCATCCTTCTCCTTCTCGCTCGATCGGGGCCGTGCAATCGGCCACTACATCTTCCGTCGCTCCGGTAAGTCTACATCTTTACATGCTTTCATTTATTAGTCTTGATGGGCAAAAATTCACCCTTATGCTAAAAAATATAGGAAATTCAAACCTCCGCGCCTAAGACGGAAATTGGGGCACAAGTCATGACTTCGGTGGGCGAGGATGAGGTAACCTCATCTACTTAGCCGTTTGAATTTTCTTTTACTTCTTTTGTGCTTACTAAATTTTCAAACTTAGTCGGCTGAGGTCAATACCAATGGGCACCCAGAGGAGGCTTCCACGGGGTCACACAAGACCATTCCCGTGCCCGAGGATCACGCCCTTGAGCACGTAGCCGAGCTGACCGAGGAAGACTTCTCACATGTTTCCAATTCTCAGGTTCATTGAAATTTCACATTTTCAAAATTTCTTTTATACTTGCCCCCAATTCCTTATTTTCAATGTTTGAACATGTTAGCGGGCCACTTTTGGCCACGAATTTTATTCGGCCGATACGACGGCCACTGAGGCCGAATTTCAGCCTCTTTTTGCCATGAACTCGGACCCCCCCTCGACTCGCCCTCTTGAGGCGCCCCGAAGTGACCCGAATTTTCAGGTAATATTATTCTCCTTTTGATATTTTTCAAGGATTTCTAGTTGTTAGAAAACTTATATCTTCCTTTCTTAGGCGAAGGTGGTGGAGTCTACCGCCACTACGGTCGATCATGCGATCATCACCAGTGGTGAGCCACCCGCCTTGGTGGTTGATACTATTTCGCCCGAACTTCAACTTGAAGTAAGCCCCAAAGTTTTCATACTTATTTCAAATATAAGGGCCATTATTATAACTCTTATGCCCTTTTACCAGGTTGGAGAGTCTTCAGCCTTTGTTCTTCGCACCCTTTTTCCTGATGATTGAGTTCATACTTGGCCATTAGTTGGCCCATTTTGTACTTAGCTAGTTTTTTTTAGTTGGTCACCACATGTGGTAGAACTAGCTTAGTTTTTGGTGGTTGCTTAGGCCATTGCTTGGCCCCATTTTGTAGTACACTTTTGCCCACCTATATATATATGATACATTTTGGAAAAGATCCTTTTATAATGCCCACCTTTCCAATAAAAATTGCTATTTCACTACAAAAAAATTCCTTTGCGGTGGACTATTTTTCAGCCATCTCCCAAACCGTTGGGTAATATTTTTTCAAAAATCAACCGTTGATCGGAGAGTCATAGACCCGACCATTTTGGTCACTTAACTTGTAAGCCCCCTTCCCTAAGACTTGGTGGACGAGAAATGGGCCTTCCCAAGTTGGAGACCACTTGCCAAACTTTGGATCTTTTGATCCCACCGGAAGAATGGTCTTCCATACTAAATCTCCAACCCCAAAACTCTTGGCCTTGGTTCTCTTGTCGTATGCTAGAGCCACCGCCTCTTTTTGGGCCCTCAATTTTTCTAAAGCTACCAACCCAACTTCATCGAGGTCATCTAACTCTTGTGCCATGGCTTGCTCGTATTCTTCCCTACTCCATTCGACATGACGAACTATCCTTAGAGATTTGACCGAAATCTCAAGTGGTAGGACGACATCGTGGCCGTAGGTAAGGGCGAATGGCGTCGTTTGTGTGGCAGACCTTTTCGAAGTTCTATACGCCCATAGAGAGTTGGATAGAAGAGAGTGCCACTCCTTGGGATTATTATTGATCATTTTTTCCAAAATCCCTTTTATTACCTTGTTACTGGCCTCCGCTTGGCCATTCGAGTGGGGATTGTACGGGGCGAATTGAACCATCCTAATTCCCCAATTTCTCACGGCCGTTTGAACAGCCTCGCCCATGAAAGCCGTTCCTCGGTCAGTCATGATGGACTCGGGCATGCCAAATCGGTGGATGATATTCTTCTCAATAAATTATATAACCTCGACCTGGGTGACTTGCTTGAGTGGAACGGCCTCCACCCACTTTGTGAAGAAACCGGTGGCCACCAAAATGTACTTATGGCCCTTGGATGACTTTGGGTGGATTTGGCCAATTATGTCCATTGCCCAACCTTTAAAAGGCCAAGCCTTGACAATGGGATTCATTGGTCCGGCCGGAACATGTTGGATAGGCCCATGCTTTTGACAATCCTTGCAACCCTTAGCATAGTCAATGCAATCTTTAAGGATGGTCGGCCAATAATAACCGTGCCTCCTTAAAAGCCATCTCATCTTGATGCCAGCTTGATGGGCACCGCATATCCCTTTGTGAACCTCCGTCATTGCTACGAGTTGTTCCTTTTTGCCCAAACATTTCATGAGTAAGTCATCGGAACCTATGCGGAACAATACTTCATCTCTTATCACATAATATTGGGCCCTCCACCAAACTTGTTGGCTATGTGACCCATTTGGAGTTTTCAATATTGCACGATGTCGTGCCTCCAATCGTCCGGTGCTACGAGGCATCATATCTTGAATAATTTGTTCAACAGCACCTCGGTCGATTACTTGGTTTCCTAGCAACGGGTTGTTCGCATTTCCGCCGAGATTATTCCAACCACCGACTTCGATGAATTGGTTGATATGAAGCCTAGTAAAATTGGCTCCAGCCCCTTGGTGAACTTGTGGGCAGAATTAATTATATGTTGGAAACCCTTGGAATTGGTTGGCCGTTGCATATGGGTTGTTACCCATCGACGGAACATTAACTGCTGGGGCTGGGTTGCCCCTAGCTGGTGGGTTAGGTTGGGGCGGATTCACTCCAAAGACATTTGGTTGGGCCTACGCTTGAGGCCCCGCCGCTGGCACTCCATTAGGCGCCACTTGGTTCCAATTTGGACATTTTGTTGGCCTAGCAATCGATCGAATCGCTCGTTGATCGAGTGGCCATGGTTTAAGGAATGGTTTGAGCCACCTCTTGCATTCGCTGATGGTTGAGGCTATTCGACGTCCCCATTGCACGGATGAATTGTTGGATTTCCAAAGAAGTGGCAGGATTTGGCTTCAAGAATAGTCCTCCAGCGACTTCCATAACACCTTCAACCAACACGTGGTCGGGGACCGACGATCGGATCTCGGCCGAAATCATTTTGGTCGACGGTCGTGGTTCGGCCGAGGCCATTTTGGCCTTGTTGAGCGGTCAGAACATTTTGTTGCTGAGTATACATGGGGAGTGAACCAACCATTTGATTATGATTGAAGTCATGTGAATCCCTTCGACGGATTACTTAGGTGGTGGACATGCCCCCAAGTCATTTTTGCCCACAAATCACAAACTTCCACTTCCGGGGCCGAAATAAAGGAATCATTCATCTTCCGCCGACGAAACTCAATCTTGAGCCTTCCACCAAGCAAAGTATAATATGTCATATGAAGAGGCCAACTTCATATTTTTATTTTATTTTTATTTTTTTTAAAACTAAGTGGCCAATTTGTTTAAGAATGAACCATAACCTTTATTAGAATCTCAACGGCCTACCTAGTAGGTGGCTGTGTTGAACAAAATTTTCATGGAGACCATGGCGGTGGCCAACCATGTTTTACTCCAAGCTTGGAGCCCTTCTTATTCTCGACTTGGATCTTGCCATTTTGTTGGCGATGGGTTGAAATACTAGGATGACTAGTACGACCCGGATGACTTCTGGCCATCACTTTGGCCGACCCTTCATGCCCCCCAAGTCCACTTGTTCGGCCAATCTTAGCCTTTGGCTGGGGCTCAATAAACTTGACCACTTGCAATTGTGGTCTCGCAATGTCGAGTTTTTCTCCTACAATCATGTCTATTATGATTCCACCTTGGGTCATGCTTCGACCTCCTTCTTCACTAGGTGGTAAGCTATTACATCCTAGGATAGTGGCCTTGGGTTGGACGATATTTTTATCCTCAACATTAACCACTTTTTGAGTTTTATCCCTTTGGGTGGGCTCATTTTCCTCAACCAATGTCAGGTTCTCAATAGGAAGGTAAACTTGAGTATTCGATTTTAAGGTCGTCTCACCCACCTCTTTCTCACTCTCATATTCCCTACCAACCCAATTTTTTTTTAGAGGAGTAGGTTGAACGGGTGGCCAAATTGCAGCCATATGAGAATTTTCCTCTTGTGATTGAGAACCAAGGTTAGGGTTGAGAGTTTGCTCTTCAACCGCAAGTAGCGAGGCAATTTCACACAAACCTTGGATCAAAAGTTTGTTGGAAGCATAAAACTCATTCACCATATCTTTCACTTTAGATACTTCCTTTATGAAATTTTGATGTTCTTTGTCCATGTGGTCAACATATGGCCTCTCACTTACGCTAAGAATATTTTGGCCATCATAGCCATTAGGATGAGTCGTTTGGTAGGAGCCATAACTAGGCTGATCATAAATATGGGCCAGATTATTTTGGCCATCTGGGTAAGTGTATTGCCCTTCGGCCACCTGATTGTATTGGCCATTCGCATAATTTTGATATATCATATTATTTTGGCCATGATTGTTGTTTCCGCCATGTTGGCCATTGAATTGGCTACCAGAGCCATATTGATATGTAGAATCGTATTGGCAGCTGTAGCCACCCTGATTGGTTTGGCCACCAAAGCCATTTTGATCATTCGAACCATTTTGGTTCATAAGATCATATCCGCCGATATAGTTGTGCCCACCATATTGGTCACCAAATCCTCCAACATAGTTGTGCCCACCATATTGGCCACTAAATTGACTACTTGAGCCATTTTGGTTGTTAGGCCCACTTTGATGGGTAAAATTATATTGACCATAGTATTGGCCGATGGATTGGCTATTCGAGCCATAAGAATCATAGCCGTTGTAGTTCATCGGCTGATAGGAATGTTGCCATTCCTTTCGGTCGCTCATATAGTGTGTCCCACTGGGCGTGCCAAATTATGTTTCCCTCTTTTCGGC